AACCGCCGTCGTCTCGTCGTCGTTGAGTAATTCATACCTTTATTAATATAGGAACATACATTACATGCAAATAAAACGTGTTGAAATTGGAGATTAAATTGACTTTAATTGAGGATTCTTTTAAATGGGTTAGAACTTGAATGAGGTTGAAATTAAACTCAATTCAAATTATCTTGAGTCTAACTCATAAAATTATGGACAAATTGGACAAATTACCTACAATTGGGCTCAATTTTGACACCTCTAGAAGGAAGTATTACAATTATACTCCCTCCATCCCAATTTATATTAGTTTGTTTGATTTTGTAAAGAAAGAAATATAAATTGACACATGTATTCGAAGAGTCCGGTATTCTATAGGAAAAAGGGGCACAATACAATTATAATTTCATAATTCAATCCAAACTAATTAAGCAAATACCTATTCTTCCAAAATAAAGTACACTTCATGCCCTCTTTATCAATATATATATATATATATATATTACCTTAAAAACATGAATTTCTAACTTGAATGTTAAATTACTATAATATCCCTAACTTATGTTATGATTTTTACGATGAGTTGTGATATTTTTGAAAAGTTGTGACTTTTTTCAAAGGATTGTAATTTTTTAATGAGTTGTGACTTTTTCAAAGTGTTGTGACATTGTCAATAAGTTGTGACTTCTCGAAAAGGTCAAGACTTTTTAGATAAGACACAAAAAACGCTTGTTCATACTACCCTTTGTTGACTATAAATAGAGGGGGTTCCTCTCATTTTTCAGCCACAATTTTTTTAAATCTTCTACTCTTCTTCTTCTTGCACTTTAAAAAATTTCGTGTTATTTATTGTCGTTGCGTGAGTTCGAAGTTTAGCGGAATATGAGGTACCACTATTCTGATGAAGTAAATCATTCTATAGAGGTATATTCAATAACCTCGAGTACTTGACGAAAATAATTTTGATGATATAATTATTATTTTTTGCTTAATATATACATTAGTACGTAATGTTCAAATATATGAAGTCAACATTATGTAGTATAAATTCATTTATTTTTGTTAAAAATTTCTCTTGTGATGTAGATATATGCTTCTGAATATTTTTTTCGAAAATTATTAAACTTCTCAAGAGTTAAAGAATTGTCACGGTTTGTTTTTTTTATGCTCAAAACAAATAATGACTTTATATATCAATGCTACTTATGTGATTTTGATTGTCATGAAGTTTGCTTCAAAATAATTATTACTATATAAAGTTTGCCCTTTTGTTTTACTAATTTACTATATCTTAATATTTCAGTATTTTGGACCAAAAAAATTCATATGACTTGTAATATCGTCAGTTGAACTTTCTATTAGTTTATTTTTTATTATTTATTTAATAGCTAATTTATACGAGATAAATATTTTCATTAATGCAAATATATATATAT